CCACAGCACAACATCAAAGTGCCCCAATATATAGACGATTGCGTCTAGCATGAAACAGCCTGTCGCCTCTGAGTGTTGACTTCAATGTTTACTTTTATATTTATTTATATACGCTCTGTCTCTGATATTGAGCACTTCACCTCATAAATATAGCACAACTTAAAACTATATTTCTTCATGTATGTATATATATATATATATATATATTTTGATTTTGTAGGTCTGATGATTTGGATCGTATTTACGATTCCAATGGAATAAATTATGACCATGGAATATTAGTGTTTAAGCCTTTTTATTATATCCTTACTCTGTCCTAGACATTTGTGTTCTACCTGGATCCTTCCTCTTGAAATTTTTTTTTTTTTTCTGAAAATATACATGTATGGGAATATTTTATATATATTTTGCATATGTATGTATATTTTCCACTAATATTATCTATATATATATATATATTTATATATATATATAAGCAAATATATGGATATAGATCTGACTTATGAAGAAAATATATGGAAAAACAAAATCGAATATGCAATTATGCTGTTTTAATGTTAATTTAATGTCGACGTCAGACGTTTCGGTTTAGTAGACCTTCTTCAGGACATAGTTACTAAAACATAATTAACATTAGACGATATTCAAGTCAATATGAAAAGACGCTGGACATAAGAGTAAGACTAATCAAAACAGAATAACTGAAATTTTTAAGACCAGCGTTCCGTTTCCCAATATGATCACGTCGGCGTCACGTGGGCGATGCTGTGAAAACGTACTTGCATATTCGGATTTTGTGTTTCCATATAATTTTCTTCATATATATATATATATATAAAAGAAAAGAGTAATCAGGAAGACAGTATATAGGGATTGGCATTGCATTTAAATTTTGAAGATTAAAGTTGGCTCCCACAAGCGAGATGTGCGAGAAAAGAAACTCTTAGCATAGAATTTATGGCTACATCTAGCCAGCTCAACTGTATATTTCTCTACGCCATTCTAGTACTGCGCTTAAATTCAAAAAGTCGAGGTACTATACCGTAGAGCTCATCCGAACACTTACCATGCAAATAGAAAAGACACAGGGAGGCAACTTTACGACGGTAGGCGACTGACTGAAGCCGAGCTGCCAGATCAGGACGAATAATATTGCTGATTCTTCTTTGGATCTTATCAAGGAGCTCAAGGTAAATAGCAGGAGCACCAGACCATATGTGGCAGCAATATTCTAAGCATGGACGAATAGTAGACATCGATAGGTATGATAGATTCTGGAGATACCTCATAGTGAACCGACTTTCTTAGAAGCTGACCTGGCAATGGATCTTTTTTTCCTTATCCTTTGATACTCAGTAACCTCTTGTGTCTTAGTGACTTTACTACCTTGCTAGGGGTGAAATGATGAAAAAAATATGTACAAAATAATTTTAAAAGAAATATCTGCATTATTTACAGCAAATTGCCATTTCATTTCACTCAAACTATGTTATGCTTAATAAATCTGTGGTGTAGCATACAATTTGGGTTTGATCGCTTTCGATCAATGACTATTTATTTTGGAAATTCCCGCTAGGCATTTTGGACCGCCGCCAACTTTTCCAAATCTAAAAAAAAAAAAAAAAAAAAATTATAGTGAAAAGTGAATAATCAGTTTCTTAGTCAATGTTCGATGGTTGTTTTTGTTTAGAGGCATATCAACACCTCTATGGGTTATTTAATTGTGAAATCTAAATATTTTATACGCAATTTTATTTTATTTTATTTTATTTATGCCATATCGGAATAAAGTGCCGTTGCTGACACTGGAGTTGAACACAGACCGCCAGAAAACAAACAGAAGTGATCCCATTTTGAATAAGTAGATCACGTGATCTTAAAGAAAATCCATATATGGGAATTAGTGTGACGTCTTAACGATCACTCTTTTTACACTATCCTCTATTACTATACGTATCGCTATTCTCTATACTATCAAGTCATCCCATAAGTTCTGTCCGAATTTTGAATAAAGAAAACAAGTGACCAAATGTTACAATTAATTACAGATTCAATCAACAATGTATTTTCCCTGATTATCTATGACTTCCTTCCATCTATTAACAAGCTTACTAATTCCATTACTGTAAAATTCTTTTGGCTTTGATTCGAAGAACTCACAAATGTCAGTTTTAACCTCTTCCTGTGTTACAAAAGCTGTTTCTTCCAAATGATTCTGTAAGCTACGAAACAAATGGTACTCTGAAGGAGCAAGATCGGGAGAATAAGATGGATGAGGAATTTTCTCCCAACCAAGTTCTTCGATCTTTTGTGACGTGATTCTTTCTGCGTGGGGTCGCGCATTGTCCTGATGAAACATCACCTCTTTTCGATTCACTAGAGCAGGTCTTTTTTTCTTCAAAGCTTGGTTCAAACGCCCTAATTGCTGACAGTATATTTGAGCATTAATTGTTGCATTAGGTTGTAAGAATTCAAAGTGGATTATTCTTGGCGACCCCACCAGATTGAAAGAAGAATCTTTTTGCCCATGAAGTTCCTTCTCGGCTGTGGCTGGGGTCCTTCCCTTTACCATGCCACTGTCTATGACGCTTAACATTTTGATAAAAGATCCATTTTCGTCGCCAGTCACAAGTCTATCCAAAAAGGTGAAACAAGTTGTCGAGAATGGAGAGAAGAGCAGATGTCAACTCAGGATTTGAGGTTGTTTTCAGACAATTTATGAGGCACCCATTTTCCAAGTTTAGGAACTTTTTCCAAGTTGTTGAAGATGATGAACAGTTGTATGGTTTGAACTGAGAACCACTGCCAATTCCTCAACTGATAAAGCAGATTTTTTTCTTCAAGGGCTGCTTCAAGAAGCTTTTCATCAAACTCAACTGGACGTCCGGTTCGATTTTCATCTTCAAGGGTGAAATCTCCACCTCTGAATTTTGCAAACCATCTTATGCAAGTTCTTTCATCCACACATTTCTCTCCATAAACTGAGTGAATGTTTCTAGCCGCTTCGGTTGCTGAGTTTCCTTTCTTGAACTCATAAAGCATTATGTGCCTCAAATGATTCTTGGGTACTTCCATGTTAGCAGGGTTTTAATCAAACAAAATTTAATTTTATTGTTCTCTGAAATAAAAATTGAACAGTTTAATTGCATCTAAACATAAAAATAATGTTCAGCTCCATTAGACATTATAAAATACTCTTTAAATTTCGTTCATTTTAAAAAAAATGTTAAAATTTGGACAGAATTTATGGGATGACCTGATATTCACTATAATATTTCTCTATATTGTTCACTATACGGATTACTATTTGGTGGTCACTATTCGAGCGAGTATTATCGTGCAAGAACTATTAGTACGAGTGCTATTCGAAGGCGTCTGGCACCAGTATTGTTCAACGGCGTTACTATAGTTGTATCTAGAATTAGAAAGTCTCTATTACAATGAGCATTTCGAAAATGACAACGAGTATTCCTTGACATCACAAAACAATGGAAATCATTGACTGGTCAACTTTAACGCCACAAAAACTAAATTACTCTCCATTAACCACCATAGAGATCCTTCCCTGCCCCCCATTAAAATGTCTGATAGTCAACTTCCTGAGAGCAACTCCCTGCGTCTGCTCGGTCTCACGCTGACTGCTGACCTGAGATGGAACAAATACATTGAGTCAATTGCTTCTTCCACTGCGAGGAAAGTTGGCTCTCTGTGCCGCGTCAGGAAATTTTTCTCCCCTGAATCGATACTTCAAATATACAAAACAACCATTCGCCCTTGCATGGAGTATTGCTGCCATATATGGGCTGGAGCACCTTCTGCTTACCTCGGAATTCTTGACAAGATCCAGAGAAGGATATGTAATCTAATTGGCCCTGATCTAGCGTCTTGTTTGCAGTCACTCTCAGACAGACGCGCCGTCGTCTCTCTCTGTCTTTTTCTACAAATACTTCCATGGTAACTGCTCTGATGAGCTGCTCTCTCTGGTTCCCAGACTCCATGAATTCAAGCGCCCTACGAGGCTGGCATCCCGCTCTCACCCTTACACCGTAGAAACCTTCAAATGTAGCCGTCTCTTCTACTCCAATAGCTTCATACCTCGCACCTCTCGCCAGTGGAACACCCCTCCCAATTACTGTTTCCTGAAAGCTATAATCTCCAACTATTCAAATGTAATGTCAATCGACATCTCAATTACCTTGATCTACCCACTATCCTTTTCCTCTTCCTTTCTCCTATCACTCTTATCTGCTCTCGCTCCAAATCTTCCGCAACCCCCTGCATCCTCGTGGCTTCACGCCTTGCTTGGGGCACAATGCTTAAAAAAAAAAAAAAAAAAAAAAATCAAATGAAAATCAAAGAGTAAGGAATTATCAATGTTCAGGAACTGATTCAAACGTTACTGACAGAATAAGACTATTATATTCATGATTATTAGTATTTGCCTATATTATTTACCTTTCAGCCATGTTTGTTTTTCTTTGAGTAACGCCTTCTCTCAATGCAGTCACCGACAAGAAAGAAATATAGTAAAAATGCCGGCAGGCATTTCTCCTTCCCAACGCCATATTATATATTAGTATTTGAAAAAAAAAATTCCTAAGGTGGATCACTATACGAATTGCTGTTTGATCGAGTATTAAAGGGAAAGTACTATTAATGCGAGTGCTATTCGGAGGCGGCTGACACCAGTATTGTTCAACAGCGTTACTATAGTTGTACCTGCCATTACAAAGTCTCTACTACAACGAGCATTACGAAAGTGGCAACGATTATTCGTTGACATTACAAAAGTGGCCACGAGTGTTCGTTGACATCACATTTTTTAGATAATTGTTTTAGTGATACAAGTCTTACTAATTAACCCATAGCTGGGGGAGAGATGTATTGTTATATTTCTAAAGAGGATTTGCGCGTAACGAACCCAACAGGAATTGGAACTCTGCTCTTCGAATAACAATTCCAAGACGTCTGCCAAATCACCCGAACATACAAGCTTACTGACCTGGTATTACTCAGCAATCACTCATCTAGGTACTGACCAGGCTCGACGTTGCTTAACTTCGGTGATCGTACAGGAACCAGTGTTTTATCATGATGTGGCCATAAGCAGATTATGCCATCCGCACATGCAAGGTCATAGCAATTGGTATTCGCAAGCGGTCACCCATCTAGGTACTGACCAGGACCAACGTTGCTTAACTTCGGTGCTCGTACAGGAACCAGTGTTTTATCATGATGTGGCCATAAGCACATTATGCCATCCGCACATGCAAGGTCATAGCAATTGGTATTCGTAAGCGGTCACCCACCTAGGTACTGACCAGGACCCACGTTGCTTAACTTCGGTGATCGTACAGGAACCAGTGTTTTATCATGATGTGTCCATAACACATTATGCCATCCGCACATGCAAGGTCATAGCATGGTATTCTTACAACACCTGGTATTCTCAAGCGGTCAACCATCTAGGTACTGACCAGGCTTGACGTTGCTTAACTTCGGTGATCGTACGGAAACAGGTGTTTAAACAGTTTTGTAGTCAAAGCATTTTATTTTTCAGAGAGCTCACGTTGCTACCGAATTTGACAAAATGTCGAGGTTTAAAGTGGGTTTTAAAACGGCAACACAGTGGAGAAATTGCCCAACGTCTCTTGGGGCCGTGTAATAAACCCATCCTCATCCCGAGGGAAAGGTACTGCCAGGTATGAAGGCTCCCTGGGACGTGGGCTTAATATTTTTGAAAGTTTTCCCGGTATGTGTCAGTTTCGTAGTCCAAGTGTTTTATTTTTCAGCGAGCTCACAGAATATGACAAAAGGTCAAGGTTTAAAGTGGGTCTTAAAACAGCAATACCGTAGAAAAATTGCCCAACGTCTCTTGGCAGTTCCCCTCAGGCGCCGGGTAATAAACCCATCCTCATCCCGTGGGAAAGGTACTGTCTGGGATGAAGGCTCCCTGGGACTTGGGCTTAATATTTTTGAAAGCTTTCCCAATATTTGCCAGTTTCGTCGTTCAAAGTGTACTGCTTTCGATGTCTTCATCACTGGGAAACTTATATCATATATTATGACAATTCTTTAAAGAAATCTAATTACCTTTTCCATTTCAGTCTGTAATTATCGTCTGACATCTTCGTAACGGACTTCTGTGTTTATTTTTATGATTAAATTTGATAAAATGGTCGCAATTATCATAAAATAATATTGCATATAACAATACCTCATGTAATAAGTAAAAGAAAAAGTTTCCGCTAGGAAATTAGCTTGAGCAAAAACGTGTCATTTTTCGGGAAATTTTACATAAGAAGTTATTTTATTAGGCGGTTGACTATATGTTCTGATGTGAAATTTCAAAAATATTAGGCTCTTAGCAGACACATTATATCGAGTGTATATCACGTTATTTAAGAATTATGTAAGTTATGTTAATATAATCCACACCCTATACTCTCAGCAAGCCGTCTGATTACGGATAGAAAACGAATTCAGTAAATATACAAAAATAAAAAGAAGCGTAAGACAAGAGTGTATCTACTCGCCGGACTTATTCAACCTTTACATGAGGCAAATAATAAGAAGTCCTACAAGGATTCATTATTGGTGGCCACAATCTTAAGAATATAAGATATTTATTAAAGACATTTTTATGTTTAACGTTCTTTTTATAGATACAAGTATTTAAGCAAATGCTCTGTTTATAATAAACAGTATTAAATAACATTTACCGGCCAGAATATCCGAGAAATTATCATAGAAAATATTCGTCCTTTGAAAGGAACCTGCATCCTATACGGAACCGTCATTTACGCTGACGTGCCTTGACCGCTCGGGCCACAAAGGATCGTTCGGTTACAAATGTTGAATTTACTGCTTATAAACTTCAATCTTCCATGAATCTCGTACATTCATAACTGCTCATGGCGTATCAAATGTAAACAAATGACGTCATATATTAAGAAATGGACAAAGTCCGACAATTTATTTATTAAAGACATTTTTATGTTTAACGTTCTTTTTTATAGATACAAGTATTTAACAATGCTCTGTTTATAATGAAAACAGTTATGAATTTATGAGTTCATGGAAGATTGAAGTTTATAAGCATTAAATGAATGAGCACCGAACAAAGTTTTGTGGCCGAGTTGTTAAGGCACGTCAGCGTGTAAAATGACGGTTCCGTATAGGATGAGCAAGGTTCTTGTCAAAGGACGAATATTTTCTATGAAAATTTCTCGAACATTCAGGCCGGTAAATGTTATTTAATACTGTTTATTATAAACAGAGCATTTACTTAAATACTTGTATCTATAAAAAGAACGTTAAACATAAAAATGTCTTTTATAAATAAATTGTCGGACTTTGTCCATTTCTTAATATAATATAAGATATGCAGATGACAGTTTTGATAGCAGACACAGAAAGGAAACTATAAAGACTCCCACAGAAGTTAGTGAAGAAAGGCGAAAAGTACTAAACATCAATTGTAAGAAAATAAAATTTATTGTTGTCAGCAAAAAGGGATCCGGCCAATATAAAAATTACAAAATGGGGATACCAAAATCAAGCAAGTACAACAATTTAAATATCAGGGAAGCGCGTTAAAAACGAATTCAGTAAATATACAAAAGTAGAAAGGAGCGTAAGACAAGAGTGTATCTTCTCGCCGGACTTATCCAACCTTTACTATGAGGCAAATAATAAGATAATAAGAAGTCCTACAAGGATTCATTATTGGCTGCCAGAATGTTAAGATATACAGACGACACAGTGTTGGTAGCAGACACGGAAAGGAAACTACAAGGAAAAGTGTAGTAAACTGTTACGTGATATCTGCCCTCCTGTATGACAGTGACTAATGGACAATCTTCCCAAAGATGAAGAAGAAACTTCAAGCAACAGAAATGTGGTTCTGCCATGTTGGCTGTGGGCATTTCAGGAGACACACGTGTTTATCTCTCAACGTCTACACCGGCCCGCAACACTAAGCCGTTACGTGATATCTGCCCTCCTGAATGGCAGGGAGTGCTTGACAATCTCCTCAAAGATGAAGAGACATAATAGATGAAATATACAACAGCGGTGATATGCCGGAAGACCTAAGTAAATCTATTTTCATATCACTACCTAAGAAGCCAGGTACAAATGAAATGTGAGCTCCAACGTTTAATCAACCAAATGAGCCACATAATAAAACTTATCATCCGAATTCTGATGAATAGAGAGTACAGCAGAATTCGACCGGAAATAGTACAAGAACAGTGCAGTTTCGGTAAAGAGACTGGGACAAGGAATGAGATAGTTATGCACAGGTTGATATAAGAAAGTCTAATACAAATACATGCGGATGTATACCTATTTTTTATGGATTACGTAAAAGCGTTTGATAAAGTACGTCAAATAGAACTGTTAGGTAACGTTTACATATTTGGGAAAGATATTAAAATAATCCCAGGACCAATATTTGGAGCAAACAGACTGCATACGGACAGAAAACAAATTCAGTAAATATACAAAAATAGAAAGGAGCGTAAGACAAGAGTGTATCTTCTCGCCGGACTTATTCAACCTTTACAACGAAGGAAATAATAAGATAATTAGAAGTCCTACAAGGATTCATTATTGGTGGCCACAATCTTAAGAATATAAGATATGCAGATGACACATTGTTGATAGTTGAAATGGAATGAAAAGTACAAAAACTCCTACAGAAGGCAGTGAAGGAAAGCGAAAAGGACTAAACATCAATTGCAAGAAGACAGAATGTATGGTTGTCAGCAAAAAGGGATCCGGCCAATATAAAAATTACAAAATGGGGATACCAAAATCAAACAAGTACAACAATTTAAATATCAGGGAAGCGCGTTAAAAACGAATTCAGTAAATATACAAAAATAGAAAGGAGCGTAAGACAAGAGTGTATCTTCTCGCCGGACTTATCCAACCTTTACAATGAAGCTAATAGTAAGATAATTAGAAGTCCTACAATGATTCATTATTGGTGGCCACAATCTTAAGATATGCAGATGACACAGTGTTGGTAGCAGACACGGAAAGAAAACTACAAAAACTCCCACAGAAGGTAGTGAAGGAAAGCGAGAAGGACTAAACATCAATTGCAAGAAAACAGAATCCATGGTTGTCAGCAAATTATAAATTGGAGATACAAAAATCAAACAAATATATATATATATATATATATATATATATATATATATATATAAAAAGTGAACATAGAAGTCAACACTTAGAGGCGACAGTCTGTTTCATGCTATATGCAATCGTCAGGCCACGTGTGCTGTTATTTTTCTCGGCTATTTATATATATATACGGGTCAGTGGTGCATTGTGGGTAGTCTATTATGGCGATTATTTTACCGGAAGTCGTTTATTTATTTATCTGGGTTAAATTGTGTTGCTTGTTTTTATTTATTTTTATTTTTTGTTTCTTATTTTATTTATTTATTTATTTATTTAATCGGCGTTTTTATTAACGTAGTAAAAGTTTGTTTATATCACTTATTTAATAGTTTTGTTTTGGTTTGAGAATTTAATTAAAGCTATTTGTTCCGTTTGGAGGTTGGTTGTTGTAGTTTGTTCTAACTATTATTTTGGCAGAAACAGTTTTTAATTTGTGTTTATTTGGGTTGATTATCGTTATTTGTTTTTTCTAACGGTAACTTTATCGGGATTGGTTTGTTTATTTATTTACTTGGATGAATTTATGTCAATTTATTTTACTTGTATTTTTTCTCTTTTCGGTTTTCGATTTTTAAGTAACGTAGTATTTATTTATTTATTTTTTATTTTTATTTTATTTAATTTTTTTATTTTATTTTATTTTATTTTATTTTATTTTTTCGTTATATAACAGTTATAGCTATTTTTTTCGTCTGATTTTTTTGGTTTTATATATATATATATATTTCAAAACTTCACAGGACTACGTAAAATTACCTTGCGGTGGTTCTGACAGAGCCCAAAATTGGAAAAACACAATTGTTTTTGCACGAAATCAATTTGAAAACAGGATTAAGAGGCATCGCGAGAATGAAAGGGGGACAACTCATATCGAGTTATACTTAAAACCTAGGTTGTTTGTGAGTGTTCATTTATATATGGGATCAGATTTCCTACATTTTTCAACCAATTTCAACAAAACTTCACTTTTTTTTTTGGAAGGTAGTGTTTCTTATTGTCTTGCACATTTTTTTCTTTATTTTTACATTCAGAATGCTTTAAAAATTCCTTTTACAAGACAATTGTTTATAATAAAATTCTATTCAATCGGTAGACGCATAACGATTGAAAACAATGTTTTTGTTTGAGTTTGGGTTTGACCAATTTGTAAAAAAAAAACAAAAAACAAAACAAAAAAACAACTAATTAAGACATGTGTGTCCGTCAACCTTAAACAATAATCTTTGTCAATTTTATTTTTCAGTCTTTATGATGGTCGATACGTGATCTATCTCTTACTGTTACATCCCCGGGCAACGCTGGGCTCTACTGCTAGTATATATATATATATATATATACTTAAAAAAAGTTAATTTTTATAAGCTTCTGAAACACGTAATATCTATGAAGTAATCGAGCTTGTGCGTGACGAGTAGCCCAAATGCAATGCCGTCGGGTGCTCCGTCTCTTGGCAGGGTCACCCTTGACGGTAAGGATTCAGGGAAGGGATCAGACTTGTGTGATCTTCCACAACAAACCAGCCTTACCTCTTCTTAGGAGATGCACTCTTCCTATCTGGTAAGTAACATCCTACTTTCATACAAATATAACAAGTATTCACTGGTCAATCACCTCCAATCTAGCTTGCTGATTGGTCAGTTCCGACCAATCAAACCGCCTGCACGCGACCAATCTGTTTTCCCGTTCAAATGCTAGGAGCCTCTCACGTGGTACATGACCATTATATAAACCGAACACGTGTGAACTCTCTGAGTAGCTTTTTTTTTCATTCCTTGCTACCAAGTGCCAAGATGTAACCTTCAAGAACTCCCGTCTTAGTCATTGCTGACCAGACGTTAAAGACAATTACCAACATCCACGCAAGTACAAACTCAGAAATCTCTACTGAACTTTTACCAACTTTACAACTCACAATTCCAAACTTTCTTAATATGAACTCAGGTACAAATATTACCAAGTCAAAGGGACACAACTCTGTCCTACCTTTTCAGTTCGTATGCATGTATATGAAACATTAATAAATTTAATTATGTTTTGAAATCATTCCGTTCAGTTTTGTATTTTATACTATGTGCTATTTACGTCAAATATAAATTGCATTGCATCCACGCATTTTCCTTAATCTCACCTTTCCTAGCCAAAGTTTAATATTGGTAACACTATCACAACAACAACGATAACACATATCGCTACATAATTGGTGATCACCGACGTTCATAGACACCCGTTACCTACATAATTGTTGAAACTTGACTAATGCATGGAATAATAATGCAACACAAAATGTACTTAGAACAAAATGTACTGAAACAAGAAAGTGTACACAATATTTACATATAGTCTTTTGTATATACTTGGGAAGACCGTTCCTTGAGAATGTGTTGACTGAGTCGCAGTCGGACAGAGTCTCTGGTTGAATCTCTTGATTCCTCCCTCCGTCTTCCCGGTACCAACCATATTTATATGGTCGGTACTCCACTATGCAAATTAGGTGGATCCTACCACAACAATAATTGATGATCCCGTCGGTAATAAACAAGAATGGTAAACCCTATCGCTACAGACTAAACACGACCCAACGCCAAGCGGGGACGGCAACTTGATGCAAGCTGTTATCATGAACCTGACTGTCAAGCCCTGGTGTGTCGTAGCGGATGGTGCGATCCATGGACCACGTTACACAGTACGCAACCAAGACTTTCGTGCTGAAAGACTTTTCTTCTTCTCACGTCTAAAGAAACGAGTGGAGAAAAGCAGCCCACGACAATATAATACGCTTCAAAAACACCAGAAAATAAATCGAAGAGCCGAAGAGAGCCCAAGGATAATCCAGAGATCTCCATACCCTGAACCCATTTACCCTACCATGTGGCAGCTGCGGACGTCTCTACGGATTTAAAAGAGCACTCATTTCACACAGAAGGAAATGTCGATGAGCAGCCCAATACTCGGTAACGAGTTCCGCCAGAGACGACCTGTCTATAGCCTGTTGCTGGGAGCAAAAAAGTAGCAAAAGAATGTTTATTTGAAGAATTACTGTCTGGTGATAGCCATGACTGTCGGATAATTCGGTTACAATTCCCGATTCTAAAAACAGAACTCCCAATTCGTCTCTAGTCCCGGGTGTTTCACCCGTATCCCTCATAGAACACGAAATCCAAAACTATGGCATATCTAAACTGCTTCTCTCTCTCTCTCTCTCTCTCTCTCTGTACGTCTTCTATGTGCCTTATCCGTTCAGGACATGGGTGATCATGGCTCTCCTCAAGATCCTACTTTTTTTAAATTATAGTCACAGTTGTCTTCTTTTTTTTTTTTTTTTACTATTCCTCCAAGTCCCTGTTTTGTCATCCATTTACAAAAATACATTAATTAGGCCCTTTGCTGTTTCTCCCCTCTTCCCTTTGGTGTGTCTCCTGGGTGTCAAATTCTCCAAGCCTTTTTTCTCATTATGTATCTCAGAAATTTAAACAGACTCTTTCAGATTCTGTGTATCAGTGTTAGTTTTCACTATTTTTCTCAAAACTTGCCCGTTGCTGACGTACCACGTCTACGTATATAGATAGATAGATAGATAGATAGATAGATAGATAGATAGATCCACTTAAGTAAACAGAAATGAACTGAGAAAGAAAAAATAGATAGGTAGAGAGAACAGATAGATAGATAGATAGATAGAACAGACTTTGATAGATAGATAGATAGAAATAAAGAACATAGATAGATAGATAGAACAGACATTGATAGATAAACAGATAACGAACAGAATTAGATAGATACATAGATAGAACAGACATATATATATATATATATATATATATATATATAGAGAGAGAGATAGATAGATAGATAGATAGAACAGACATTGATAGATAAACAGATAACGAACAGAATTACATAGATAGATAGTTAGATAGATAGATAGATAGATAGATAGATCAGAATTTAGTAGATAGATAAATAGATAGATAACGAAAAAAATTAGATAGATAGATAGATAGATAGATAGAGAGATAGAACAGACTTAGATAGATAGACAGACAGACAGATAACAAACAGAATTAGATAGATAGATAGATAGATAGATAGATAGATAGATAGATAGATAGATAGATAGAACAGGCCCAATTAAACAGATGGATAATCAACAGAATTAGATAGATAGATAGATAGATAGATAGATAGATAGATAGATAGATAGATAGATAGAACAGACATTGATAGATAAACAGATAACGAACAGAATTAGATAGATAGATAGATAGATAGAACAGACATATATATATATATAGAGAGAGAGAGAGATAGAGAGAGAGAGAGAGAGATAGATAGATAGATAGATAGATAGAACAGACATTGATAGATAAACAGATAACGAACAGAATTACATAGATAGATAGATAGATAGATAGATAGATAGATAGATAGATAGATCAGAATTTAGTAGATAGATAAATAGATAGATAACGAAAAAAATTAGATAGATAGATAGATAGATAGATAGATAGAGAGATAGAACAGACTTAGATAGACAGACAGACAGATAACAAACAGAATTAGATAGATAGATAGATAGATAGATAGATAGATAGATAGAACAGGCCCAGATAAACAGATGGATAACCAACAGAATTAGATAGATAGATAGATAGATAGATAGATAGATAGATAGATAGAACTTACATACGGTCTTCTCAGCATCCTTCTGTAGAACAGCATTTCTTTTGGCTCAAGCATATTTTTTTTGTGCAGATTGTCTAGTATTCACTGCCATATAAATGGACTGATATGGCATAGCAGTTCAATAGATTTTCTGTGTTTCTAAAGACATGTTCGTTTCTTAATACTCTGTTGAGTTTCCGGGTACACTCGTCTACCAAATATATTTTGCTACACCTTTTTGCCGTTCATTCAACATCCAACAAACTAATCCGCGGTTTATATTTGCAACTATGCTTAGAAAACTTTAGTAACAGTTTCTAGGATTCAGCGCATAATTTGGTGTGATCGACTGTTGAACCGTGGCCGTGTGCTTAAACCATCAAATCGCGATTTGACTCATAGCTTAAGAGCTGAGTTGAGCCCAGAGTAAACTTTCCCGTCAAGAGATTTTCACTTCAGATATTGTAAATACACTATCTAAGATTCATAAAAACGTAGATGCCATATCTGGTTTGATGGTAAATTTTCCGTTATTTGGAATTCAAGATGGCCGCTATTTAATTGTAGGAGAGGACTTACTTTAGAGCCAATAACTCCTCTCTGTATTGACCAATTTCAGTAAACTTGCTATCATTTTGTAGGGCTGTGATTATTCTATCAGGAAGGTAAATTATAAATAAAAATAATCTAATTAATTATATCATTAATGCAAAAAAATATCAAATTTTAGTGAGAAATGCCCCAAAATATATTGACTTTAATTGCACAGAAAATTATGTACACACACAAAGTAAACACTTTTAGTATTTTTCCTGTAAGCTGTTATTAAACAAATGATGTTAACAGCAAATATTATTTTTACCTCAACAAATATGCTGGATTTTAACCTATATTCTCAATGATGTAAAAGTGGTTGAGGAGATAAGTTGGATACCGTATAAACATTCACGGCAAGAAAATTTGACTCCAAATATTATAAATACACTACTTGGGATTCATAAAAACGTAGGTGTCATATCTGGGTTGATGGGAAATTTTCTGCTATTTGGAATTCAAGAGCGATGGCTTACTTTAGAGCCAATAACTTCTCGCTGTATTGACTGTTTTCAGTAAACTTGCTATCATTTTGTAGGTATGTAGTTATTCTATCAAGAAAATATATTATAAATAAAAATAATGTAATTAATTATATCATTAATACAAGAAAATGTCAAATTTTAGTGAGAAACGTAAAAAAAAACTATTTAAAACACACTTTATTTGCATATAAAATTAAGTCATATGATTTTGTATTTTTTTTACAGAATTTTAAATTTTAAAATAAAATTTTATGTTTCATTTGTTATAGCTGGCGCCAGCAAAATTTTTATAATACAAAAGCATTTATGTATTATTTATTTTTCTTAATTCCTGCCAGGTTTCATTATCATGCCATGTGTAAATTCGTCCAAATTGAGGCAAATAAATCAAAGCAAATTTGTGTAAAATTGCTGACGTCATCATAAAAATTCTGATGTCAGCCGATATTTGTTTTAAAGTATTATTGTTTCGTAAATGCAGTACTTGTATCCCTGCAAAGTTTCATGGCCATAGCTTTTATCTCAACAAATATGCCAATTTTTAACCCTTACTCTGAATGACGTAAAAGACTTTGATAGGGAAAAGTCAACATATCTGGTATTTTCTCTATATCTAGTTTCCGTCATAAAAAAAAAAAAAAATACTTCAATATAGTTTTGTTTTGAAATAATTTTCTTTTTGTTTTCAGATACTTTTATAATTTGTACTCTCACCGAAAGCATTGCAAATTGAAAATGTCAGACAGTTTACCTGGTCCACCGTGTGTTGTCCAGCTCGTTTCAGAAAAGAAGAGAGATTTGGATTTATGTGTTATTTGCCAGCATGTTAAAGATACCCAAGGTAACCGTAAAGTATATGGCACGTCTAATGGGCAAGACACAATACAAGACACTTGCAGAATGCAAAGAACTTGTATGTTAACTAGTTCTTTGCATTCTGAAAGTGTCATCAACAAAACACAACTTGAAAAAGATTGACTTTCTCCTGAACTGACTTTCAATTGGGAAAAAGACAAGGACATATTTCTTCTATAGTCATTTGAAGTAAAAATCAGTTGGCCTTTCTGTATAATCAGTTAGTTATATGCCATCCGTGATAGACGCTTAGGCGATCATGTATCTTTCGATACATGAGTGACGAGCCAGATTTTATTTTCCCGCAGTAGGTTGCCATTTCTTTCTGCGGTAGACCAGTTGCCATCTAAGGCTATAGAACTCTGTCTGTCCTGCTATTTATCCATAGCTGGGTTGAGAAGAGGATTCATACCTTTTTCAAGGGTATTACCATGTAAGTGAATATAATGGATTCGACTGGAATTCGAACTCGGCTCTCCAATTTCTCAATCAGTTATGTGTCATGCGCCATACGCGCTGAGGCAATCATGTATCTTTCGATACATGACTGACGAGGTATATTTTTTTCCTCACAGTAGGTAGCCATTTCTTTCTGCGGTAGACCAGTTGCCATCCAAGACTATAGAACCTGGTCTGTCCTGCTATTTACTCATATCTGCGGGGAGGGGAGAGGATTCATACCTTTCTCAAGGGTATTAGCACGTAAGTGAATTTCAGTCAATTATGTGTCATGCGTGATACACGCGTAGGCGATGATGTCTCTTTCGATACATGACTGACGAGGCAGATTTTTTCGTGCGGTAGGTTGCCATTTCTTTCTGCGATAGACCAGTTGCCATCCAAGGCTAAAGAGCTCGGTCTGTTTTTCTATTTACAATGATACCACTCTCTAAAAAACAAAATCAAAAGTCAAGGCAGATCCTTGTTAAATACAATATGACATGACTAAAGAAACTGTAAAATTGTTCAGTACTATTGACTATGCAAGATTACGTAGGTTTGATATCAAACAATTATTGATATCTGAAATAGCCTCCACATCGTCATCCTAACAAAAAAATGGATATCTAAGGAAAGCAAACAAGGCTGCACTCGCAATAGAAAACTAATACGAAAAGAAAATCCTATCATTTTTCCATCTAATCAGCATAAAAGTCATAGACCTCACGGGATATGCTTGGAAGATCCCGATTAAAAAGAAGCAACTTAAGACATTTCTTGATCTTGTACAAAGTCTATGGAACACATTTAAAGCTTTTAGAGAGAATTCTTAGAGGAATGACATAGTTTTCGACTTATATCATGCAAATAGTATAAAATCTCATGAGATAAATCGTCGTAGTAAAAGTGTGGACATTTTAACTTTTATTTCCAGACTTGATCCACCATTTCCCAAAGATATGGACAAATTTTGGACGCTCTCTGAAAACAAGGTTTCAATGCAGCAAATTTCCATCAACTGAACAAGACAAATGAAGCTTGACACTTATATTCTTATATTCTTATATTCTTATATTCTTGGGTGGTTGTCACAAGAAAGATGAAGCCATTCACATAAGCATTTTTCCGGATTTAAGTACTACAGAGAGTTTGTTAAAATGTTTTTTTATGAAGAGGCAGATGATAGAATTTTGTTTCATTCGGACCACGGCATGAAAGTAGGAAACTTTAAACGTTTGACTATTGCATCTTCTGATACTATTTATTTTATTTTATTTTATTTCGGTCCTGTATCACAATAATAAATTTAAAATGTTCAATTTAAAAGAGTTGTGGCTTATTTCAGGTCAAAAAAAAAAATTTCCCATCTATCGATTAACCGAAAATACTGAATCTGAAATTACTGAACTTTTGCCAGCAGTCTATTCCCTAACGGCCTGTTACTTTTGGAAAAATACTATCACCAATAAAATATGCAGAAAAAAGCTTGTCTATATTTCTGAGATGAGGTATTATGTACAGTGTAACACGGATATAAGAGACCCGGATATAAGAGAAACCCTGATATAAGAGAGATTGTCTCTGGTCCCAAATTAGAGCCCATACTTACCTAAACAAAATAGACCAAACCCGGATATAAGAGAAACCCGGATATAAGAGACTTCTTATCCGGTCCCGACAACTCTCTTATATCCAGGTTACACTGTACATTATTATTTTCAAGGACACATGGCACAGTGGATAAAGGCGTTGGTTAGATCCAGTGACAGGACCCAAAGTGTGTGAGTTCAATACCCGGTTCAGAGGGAAATTAGCAGGAGATAACTGATAACTGACATCCATTAAAACATGGCACGTAGAACTAGAACAGTCTACCCCAGTGAGCGAAATAAAGGGTTCAGTTCGAAATTCCAACCACCTGAAGAAGGCCGGAGCGTACAACGGACGAAAACGTTGTGATAAATATGGCGACAAAGATGGGGACAATAGTCCGAATATTGTAAATAATGTGCAGAAAACGTTCTACTAAAGTGTATCTCATCCGGTGATATTGACAGTTTTGATGACCTTCGTTATCAAGTTTTTCATAAAAAGTAATCTCAGTTGGACAATGGAAAACTATCGCCTATAACAACAGCTATCAAACAGCATATTCTACATGTCTTTTTGTTATTATTTCTTATTGTCATCTGTGGGTTCATTCAGCTTTCATTGAAGAAATAAAATTGGATCCATTTATGTATGGCTACACATTAGATGAAAATAAGGATTTGCAACCTGCTGTTACTGTTGATCCACGTAAAACTCGGCCTTGTGCCACATGCGACCCCTCGTGGGGTGGGGGAGAGCTAAATATAGCTGTTACTGTTGGACCATGTATCATGAAGAGTTTCCTGTTCCTCGTAATTGCTTAAAATGTGCAACACCTAACTTTTTTCCCCTGTCGGAGAAAGCAAATTGCTTGTTGTAACTTTTGCAAATGGGAAGCAAAAGAATCTTACAAGAAAAGTTATTAGTAGTAAAATGCCTTCCATCAAAAACTTTTACGTCATTCGGAGTGGACATTAAAACCGTTATAATTGTTGTGTTAATAATAATAATAATAATAATAATAATAATAAAAATAATTGCTGTTAACATGAATTTTTTTTTAAATAACTGGACACAGAAATACAGGAAAATACTAAAAATGTTTACTTTCTGTGTGTTGATAATTGTCTATGCAAATAAAAACGAAAGTATTTTGGGGGTATTTCTCACTAAACTTTGATATTTTCTGGCATCATACTTATTATAAAACCCAAGTTGTGTGTGTGTGTGTGTGTCTGTACGTTTATATATTGGATCGGATTTCCTACATTTTTTAACCGATTTTAACAAAACTTCACAGGACAACGTAAAATTACCTTGCGGTGGTTCTGAAAGCGCTAAAAATTGGAAAAACACAATTGTTTTTGCACGAAATCAATTTGAAAACACGATTAAGAGCCATCGCGAGAATGAAAGGGGCACAACTCATATCGAGTTATACTTATTATAAAACCCAGGTTGTTTGTGTGTGTGTTCGTTTATATATGGGATGGGATTTCGTACATTTTTCAACCGATTATAACAAAACTTCACTTTTTTTTTGGCAGGTAGTGTTTCTTATTGTCTTGCACACTTTTTTCTTTATTTTTAAATTCAGAATGCTTTAAAAATTCCATTTACAAGACAATTGTTTATAATAAAATTCTATTTAATCGGTAGACTCATAACGATTGAAAACAATGTTTTTGTTTGAGTTTGGGTTTGACCAATTCGTAAAAAAACCCACAAAAAACACAAAACAAAAAAAAACTAATTAAGACATGCGTGTCCGTCAACCTTAAACAATAATCTTTGCCAATTTTATTTTTCAGTCTTTATGATGGTCGATACTTGAACTAACTCTTACTGTTAATGATATAATTAATTACATTCTTGTTGTGGATTCCGAGATTAAATCCGGTCTCCAATGAATGACAAACGCAGGAATGAAATATAACAAATGAATGTATTTATACAATAATACAATTGGTAATACGCTTAGTAGATCCAGAAACGCGGTTAGTAGCAATATATATATATATATATATATATATATATATATATATATATATATATATATATATATATATATACAGTCTGGTAAATTCAGTCTCGAAGTAGGACTTCCTTAGAGTCTACGTGCTTGTAACTGTGACTTCTACAAGCGTTTACCTCACACTATTACTCTACCTCCAACTCAATCACAATCTCAATCTCTCTACTCTGACTGACTCTGGGTATTTAATGGCAGCAGTCCAAGTAAACACTGGTCGAGTCCACTTGTATGAAAAAAGGGTTGAATCCCATAACAATTATTTTTATTTATAATATACTTTCCTGATAGATTAATCACAGCCCTACACAATGATAGCAAGCTTACTGAAATTGGTCAATACAGAGAGAAATTATTGGCTCTAAAGTAAGCCCTCTCCCCCAATTAAATAACGGCCATCTTGAATTCCAAATACCGGAAAATTGCTCATCAACCCAGATATGGCACCTACGTTTTTATGAATCCCAAATAGTGTATTTACAATATTTGGAGGCAAAATTTCTTGCCGTGAATGTTTACACGGTATCCAATTTATCTCCTCGACCCCATTTTACATCATTGAGAGTAGCGATTAAAAACCGGCATATTCGTTGAGGTAAAAATAATATTTGTTGTTAACATGATATGTTTAATAAAAGGACACAGAACTACAGGAAAATACTAAAAATGTTTACTTTATGTGTGTACATAATTTTCTGTGCAAGTAAAATGAATACATTTGGGGTCATTTCTCACTAAAATTTGATATTTTTTTTGCATTAAGGATATAATTAATTAGATTATTTTTATTTATAATATACTTTCCTGGTAGGATAATCACAGCCCTACAAAATGATAGCAAGTTTACTGAAATTGGTCAATACAGAGAGGAGTTATTGGCACTAAAGTAAGCCCTCTCCCCCAATTAAATAACGGCCATCTTGAATTCCAAATAGCGGAAAAATGACCATCAACCCAGAAATAGCACCTACTTTTTTTTTATATGAATCTTAGATAGTGTATTTACAATATCTGAAGTGAAAATCTCTTGACGTGAAAGTTTACACGGGATATCAACTCAACTCCTAGACTATGAGTATTTTGCGCAACCAACCTGAAGATCAATCAAGTTTCACTCACAAAGGTTGGCTGAACTGATGGCATAGTTTTCAGGTAGACATACTTACGGTTTACAGCCGCCTTTCTATTTTTGTACATTTACTGAATTTGTTTTTTTATCGTTGTGCAGGCGGCCTGCTTCCAGAATAGGGTCTGGATTATATAAACAGAACTTGTAATAATACTTCAAGAATATGATATACTTTCGATAAAATGTGTCTACTGAGATCTTAATATTTTGAAATTTCAGATTAGGACACGTTAGAAATGTTTCACGTGCAATGCCCAAATTTGGTAGACATGCTTACAGCTGTTCGATGTAAACCTATAATTCTTCTTTGCTTGCTAATTTCTGAGTTGGAAAATTATTTGGTTATTTTAAAAAGCAATTTGAAAGAATATTTCCCACCCTTAAAAAAAATAATGTGTTTTTTATACTCATGAACTGCATTTCTACCCTTTTCCTACGCTCATAGAACACTAAACAGTAATCTTCTAGATAGAGTGGCTCATTGGTCTTTTATTGGTTGTAAATTAGTATAAAAAAATTCTTTGTTGGACACAAATTAATGCATTGTTTTTTTTTTTTTGTTATTTAGACTATTAATTTTGAAATATATATTTACACTGTCTCTGTAAGCGCTAAAAGCCACATGGGTCGTAGAAATAGACGCTTAGTGATAATGGTAATATTTTTTTATTGGAAACAAAGAGTGTAAAATAGATATTTCTTGGTGAGATATTTAATTTGTCTCGGCTTTGCTATCAGAAGGAACGTGGAGTAAATTTAATTATATTCTTGTCCATTAAACACACCAGCTCGACAACGTTAATAAGACATCACTTATATATTTATATTTATGTTCCTACGAAAACACCGGTAGTACCCACAAGAAAGATGATCCCCCGCCCCCAGGCCAGAAACGTTTCCAGAGCAAACCTTAAATGCGTCAACTACAACGCGATAAAAAGCTAGCTTTGTTGAAGGAGTTATTAATTACTGCGTTGAAACAAAAGTTCAGAGTGGTTTTCAATTGGTACAACTTGTATAGTTTCAAACTTGACTGAAGTTTTATATATATATATATATATATATATATATATATATATATATATATATATATATATATATATATTTCATAATCATAAATACTAGCTGTAACAGCAAAATTGTCCAATTGTTAGATTAAGTTTTGAACCGTTGTATCGTAGAAATGATTAAACATATTATACTGGAATTCTCCGAATTTTTTCAAAACACTATTAGACTCTACTTTGAGCAAATGAGAATGCATAATTACGCTTTAATCATAGCTAAGGATCGGGAATTTATGAAGTATTGAAATAAAGTTCACACACACACACACACACACACACACACACACATATATATATATATATATATATATATATATATATATATATAATAAAAGGCTTAAACACTAATATTCCATGGTCATAATTTATTCCATTGGAATCGTAAATACGATCCAAATCATCAGACCAACAAATTCAAAATGAAAACAGAAAAAAACAACTCCGGAAATCAAAAACGAATTTAGAGAAAAAGAAGTATGGGGAGGAGGGACATGAAACCTTAACAGAGAGAATTTTAGGAGATGTGGGTGGGGTGGGGAATTTAAAAGAGGAGAGAAAGAAAGTCGACGGATGTCTAATGCATAAAAGATACATTTCGTGGTGACATACATACATCACAGACAATTAGAAGTTAGGATGGGAGGTAGGGGAAAAAAGAAAGAGAAGAGGTGGGGGAGAGAGATGGGACGAAGGAAAATAAAATTGTGTTTACTTAAAGGGATTAATCCAGGTTCATTTTACAACTTATTCAAGATGATCTTCGCCCTCTCTAACCTTTTAACTTTATATATATATATATGTGGGGGGAGAAAGAGAAAAAGGAGACTAAATGATATCTCAAAAGTGGAGAGAAGTAACCTGAAACTGATGCACTTTAATCGGGTTTCTTCTTATGAATACAGAGAGGTAGATATAAACTGCGATCTATGTATTATTGGTTAAAGAGAGAGAGAGAGAGAGAGAGAGAGAGAGAGAGAGAGAGAGAGAGGACAAGTGTGTCTAAAACTTATGAACGACATACTATGAAGAGATAGTGAGAGGGACAAATAGAGAGACTAAGAGCAATGAAGGATATACTATGAAGAGATAGATAAAGTATTAATAGCAGAAAATACATAGATGGATAGAGAGAGAGAGAGAGAGAGAGAGAGAGAGAGAGATAACAAACCGAATAAGATAGATAGATAGATAGATAGATAGATAGATAGATAGATAGATAGATATGAACAGACTGAGATAGATAGATAGATAGATAGATAGATAGATAGATAGATAGATAGATAACGAACAGAACCGGATAGATAGATAGATAGATAGATATCGAACAGAATTTGATAGATAGATAGATAGATAGATAGATATCGAACAGAATTTGATAGATAGATAGATAGATAGATAGATAGATAGATAGATAGATAGATAGATAGATAGATAGATAGATATGAACAGAATTTGATAGATAGATAAATAGATAGATAACGAAGAGAACCGGATAGATAGATAGATAGATAGATAGATAGATAGATAGATAGATAGATAGATAGATAGATATGAACAGACTGAGATAGATAGATAGATAGATAGATAGATAGATAGATAGATAGATAGATAGATAACTAACGGAATAAGATACATAGATAAAGAAGCTATTAACATCAGGAAACAAATAGATAGATGAGAGAGAGAGAGAGAGAGAGAGCAAGATAGATAAATAGATAACGAACTGAATAAGATAGATAGGTAAAATAGACAGATAGACAACGAAGTTAAATAATTAGCAGCGGAAATAGATAGATACGGGTAACGGGAGAGTGAGATTAACTGAGGTCTAAGAAAGATATACCACGGAGAGAGAGGGGAATAGAGAGACCAACGATAACATTTGAATGACATATTGTGTAGAGAGAATGAAAGGATCATATATATATATATATATATATATATATATATATATATATATATATATATATATATATATATATAAGGTAAAATTCCAAAGAGGATATAAATCCGGGGAGAGATAAGCCTAATGTATCCGTCCAGTGACTGCTGAGTTGAAAATTTCGGTGTTCACGAATTAAAAAACATTATAAACGAAATGGATAATTAAAGTCTCCATCTTCTTCTTAACATATATATATATATATATATATATATATATATATATATATATATAAAGAAAGAACAGTAAGATATATAATCCGGTGTTCTTATAGATAATTTTATTTTTACAAAATAGTGCTCAATGTAAATTTACAGAACATTAATATTATAAATTAATTGATTTAAAATATGTTTTTTTTTGCTACATACTTCTAACCATGTTTCAAAAATGAGGATGAAATGGAACTAATGTCTTTAATTTAATTACAAAATTAAATTCGGACTTTCCATTGTTGAAACATGGTTAGAAGTGTGTAGCGGAAAAAAACATATTTTGAATCAATTAATTTATGATATATATATATATATATATATATATATATGTGATGGACTCTCCCATCGTATTTGACGTATGAGGGTCAAGCAGCTCAGTTCCCAGGAACCGACAGCCAGATACCAGCACATATGATTTAATTATAGTGGTGAAGGCTTTGTGCAGAACCAACCACACTTTTTGAATACGGAGAGGTGGTACCACATCCAGGTATTGGATTTAGAGTTGTCCTTCTCCTAGACTCGTTGCCATCCAATGCTATAGAACCTAGTCTGTACTATTTATCCATAGCTGGAGGGAGAAGAAGAGGAATAATATAATATAATAATAGGAATAATATATGTGTGTGTGAAAAGTGTATATAAATATAAATAAATAAAATATATATATATATATATATATATATATATATATATATATATATATATATATATATATATATATATTTATATATTATATGCGCGGTACTTATTAGAAAGCGCTCAATATCAGAGATAGAGCTAACATATTTGGTTGGATAGATGTGAGTTTGTGACCCTGGGTTTCACGCTTTAGCGATCGTCAGAACCAAATATATATATATATATATATATATATATATATATATATATATATATATATATATATATATAGAGAGGGAGAGAGAAAGAGAGAATATGAGAAGGACAGGGAATGAGAGAGAGAGAGAGAAAGAGAGAGAGAGTCAATAAAATCTATGAATGACAAAGAACAAAGAGTGGGGAGGAGGGAGACCGACTATGACCTACGAATGACATAGAATGCAGAGCGAATGAGAGAGGGGGAGAGACAGACACTAACTGAAATCTATGAATGATAGAAGGGGAGAGAAAGAGAATCAGAGAGACCTATGAATGACATACTATCCAGAGAGAAGGAGAGGAATAAAGAGAGAAAGAGACTAACAAAAATTATGCATAATATACTAAAGAGAGAGAGAGAGAGAGAGAGAGAGAGAGAGAGAAGCTGATTAAGATTTTAGAATGTTACTGTATACAGACGATATTCAGTCACCCCCACCCCACGAGGGCGTCATGTGGCACAAGTCCTTTTTAACGTGGGATCTCCGAGCCCGTGGGATCGGCCAAAAATATGCCCATTGAACCCGTATAAACGGGTTCAGGGTCGGTTTACCTCCCCGAAAGAGAATCCGCCCTTCGCCGTAGCCTCGTTCGGGTTCCTCCCCGCCCAAAGGCAGAGAGTTCAACCGAACAGCCGGTCAAGACTTGAGCGACTGTATATCGACAGATACTAAGTGGAATGAGAAAAGTGGTGAGAGAATTTAAAATCTTTGAAAGACACACTGTAGAAAGCATGAGTGGTTATACATAGAAACTAATTGATATGTATGTATGTTCTTCTCGAGAGATAGAGATAAAGAGAGAGAGAGAGAATGAGAGAGACTGATTAGGACCGTTGGACGACCCAATACCTGAGTAAGGGAGGCATAAATTAACATTAATGAATCATACACAAGGGCAGTGGGACCTAAACTTCTTTTACTCTCGATCGCATTTTTAGAATTAAAATTTGCTCAGGCCTCACCAAATTTTATATAATAAGAAGAACATTTAAAATAAAATTAAAAAAAAAAAATCAGAGAAGCTTAAAGGGTGATAACCGCAGTTTTGAAGTCAGAACATTATTATTGATAATTCTCTCCTCCAATTTGCGGACCCCAGTTACTATAATCTTAATACTTGATATAATGCAAAAATATCACAATGATAAAATCGGTCAATAATTATTTGTAATTATTTATACTGGGACGTATGTCTGCAATTACAAGTAATCCATAATAATATTTTAAATTTTGAAATCATATTTATTTTTGGCAGATGAAATTTTTTGAATCTGTTTCCAAATCTTGGATTATCTTTCAATGAATCCGCCTCACCGGCTATCCTGTTCCGCTGCACCTATAAGGCGCGCCACGCCGTTTGGGAAGAACTGGACTAGGTTGAAAAAGAGAGACACAAACGAACCCCTTTGAATTATGTACAATGTAGAGAAAATGAAAAGGAGAGACCAACCAAACGGAAACATTGAATAATGGAGATGTGTGAACGTGTGTGTGTATGTGTGTGTGTGTGTGTGTGTGTGTGTGTGTGAGAGAGAGAGAGAGAGAGAGAGAGAGAAAGAAAGAAAGAGACAAACTGATATCTATGAATGATCTAGCATAACGGGAAAGAATGAGAGAGACGTGTTCTTTAAATGACATACTATCTAGAAAAAAATAGAGAGAGAGAGACTAATATATCTATGAATTATATACCAGAGAGAGAGAGAAAGAGAGGGAGGGAGAGACAGAGACTAATACATCTATGAATTATGTACCAGAGAGAGATAGATAGATAGATAGATAGATAGATAGATAGATAGATAGATACTATTAGATCTATGAATTATATATGAGAGGGAGAGAGACTAATTAATCTATGAATCATATACCAGTGAGAGAGAGAGAGACTAATGTATCTAAAAATTGTATACTAGAGATAGAGAGCGTTCGCGCGCGGAGAGAGAGAGAGAGAGAGACTCATATCTATGAATTATATACCAGGGGAGAGAGAGAATAAAGGGGAGAAAAATCGAAACCTGTGACTAAAGTACTATGTAAGAATATATTGGCTGCATGAGAGAGAGAGAGAAAAGAATGACATGCTTTAGGGAGAGAGAGAGAGAGAGAGAGAGAGAGGGAGAGAGAAAGAGAGAGAGAGAAAGAGAGAGAGAGACTCATATCTATGAATTATATACCAGAGAGAGAGAGAATAAAGGGAGAAAAATCGAAACCTGTGACTAAAAAGTACTATGTAAGAATATATTGCATGAGAGAGAGAGAGAGAGAGAGAGAGAGAGAGAGAGAGAGAGAAAAGAATGACATGCTTTAGGGAGAGAGAGAGAGAGAGAGAGAGAGAGAGAGAGAGAGAGAGACTCATATCTATGAATTATATACCAGGGGAGAGAGAGAATAAAGGGGAGAAAAATCGAAACCTGTGACTAAAGTACTATGTAAGAATATATTGGCTGCATGAGAGAGAGAGAGAAAAGAATGGCATGCTTTTAGAGAGAGAGAGAGAGAGAGAGAGAGAGAGAGAGAGACTCATATCTATGAATTATATACCAGGGGAGAGAGAGAATAAAGGGGAGAAAAAATCGAAACCTGTGACTAAAGTACTATGTAAGAATATATTGGGTCCATGGAGAGAGAGAGAGAGAGAGAGAGAGAGAGAGAGAGAAAGGAATGACATGGTTTAGGGGAGGAGAGAGAGAGAGAGAGAGAGAGAGAGAGAGAGACTCATATCTATGAATTATATACCAGGGGAGAGAGAGAATAAAGGGAGAAAATCGAAACCTGTGACTAAAGTACTCTGTAAGAATATATTGGGTGCATGAGAGAGAGAGAGAGAGAGAGAGAGAGAAAAGAATGACATGCTTTAGAAAGAGAGAGAGAGAGAGAGAGAGAGAGAGAGAGACTCATATCTATGAATTATATACCAGGGGAGAGAGAGAATAAAGGGGAGAAAATTCGAAACCTGTGACTAAAGTACTATGTAAGAATATATGCGTTACCTTGTGTGCATGTGGGAGGGAGAGAGAGTGAGAGAGACCTAGAGGAAGAAATGAATGACATGACAGAAAAGAGAGAGAGAGAGAGAGACCGAGAAAGAGAGAGAGAGAGAGTGACTCACAGAAAGAGAGAGGTAGAGACCAACTTACAACTATAATAGATACACTAGTACATGAATGTGTCTAAAATGCACAAACGTGGGCTATTTTGTTCTTATCAATTGTTGAATCTACTTCGTTGTTAATTGCCTATATCATAAGTAATCATTTTCGCTTTGAATATTTTTTAGACTAATTACATCACTTGGTTTATAATTAGTGCACACTTCATGCAAGTCATAAATCGGACACCGGCATGTGAATTCTTAACGAGGTGCAGATAACATAAAAAGTAATTTAAACTTACAGAATTTTATCTAGCAGACTGAAAAATTCAAACAAAATAAGGAATAAAAAGCAGCAGGTGTTTTTTTTTTTTTTTCATTTTTGAAGAAAGACTCAAAGTTATTTGCTAAACTTAAAGAATTTTAAAGGCAACGCTGTAAAAGTAATGAATTAATTTTTATAGCTTTGTGTTTGAAAGTCGTAAAAAAACTGGTTAAAAAAAAATGGAGGTATTAAATTTTTTTCAAAAAATAAAATAATATATACGCACTTCTTTCTTCCGTTGTTTCAGAAATCTAAATATCTTTATGTCAAAATAAAAACATATTTTAATAATATTGGATATCAGTAAATATTTTTGGTTAGTTTTCATTAGAAGAAAATAATTTGTGACAATGCCATGAAGAAAATGAAATTTACTTCCAATTAAACTAACCAAAAATATTTACCGTAATTCCCTACGTATAATACGC